ATAATCATCATTAAAATAATCTTCTTCAACTTGTGACACTGTAGGACTAGGGATCAGAACATGGGTAGAATGTGAGCTTCCACTATATCTTCACTACAAGAAATTGACTCATTAACAAAAAGTGGCATCGTAAGCACTGAATGTCCACAATACAAGAGAGAAGTAAAAAACAAAGCAACAAATGAAAGCAATGTGTGATACAATCCTGGAATCAATCCATTTCCATCTAGGATTATAGAACCTAAAATTTGTCTAAGTCTTTTTGATGTTTCAGGTAGCTAACTTTGGAGGCTCGGTTCTCTCAATTGGCTCGATGTAAATTAGGAGTTTGATGGCTTGTTTTGAAGGTGGAGTATCCCTATACAATGTGGATGGCCTAGAGTTTCAAGATGAATTTTGGAGGGCCATGATTGAAGCTCTCAAAGTAGCCCTGTTAAAATCGAGAATCTGCCTGTTTTTTGTTAAGGCAAATGACGAGTTCAAGGAGATTATTTTGGAGCTTAATATCTGGAGTTTGGGACACATCCAGATGCTGATTCGAATTGGAATGCAATTTAGAACACTTTCTAAACCAAGGGTGGGAATTGGATGAGATCGACTTAGCTTGAAAGACCATGTTCGAGGAACCCAAAAAGCTACCTCGAACTGCCAGCAATCTGAATCCCATAAGGATTCTTAGTCCTATTCGGATTACATGCATAATTTAGTTTCCTTGTTGAATTAGGTTAATTTCATGTAGTGTTCAGCTTTGTTTGAGTTTGTTTAAGCCTATAAAAGGCCTCCATCGTGTATTGTACAATGGAGAGTTGATTTGAGTAAAAAAAACCCTAAAATTCCCAACTTGTGCGTTGTGAATTTGCTTTGGTTTTGGTTGCGATCAAAACTTGCTGAAACTAGCCTATTGATCGAGCAAACCCACTCGATTATATCGAAGGTAACATTATAACGATCATGCAATCTCCCAGGTTTGAGATTTACCCTTCGTTTCCATCCAATTGAAACTCGAACTGGCTTACCCAAGCTCGTTTGAGGAACTCTGTTTCTGTTTTCTTGAACAAAGGAACCTTCAATTCCTTTGTTTGTGGTGAAGCTGCGCGATTCTGTTCAATAACACTCATCTATGGCGTTATCAAACAAGGGCTAGATTCTTCTGCGTAATGCCACAAATGACAAGGTTGAATCCTTGTGAGGTAAGAGAAACAGAGGAGGGGGTTCGATTAGGAATTGGTAGGATCCTTCTGCTATAAGGAAACAGAGAAAGCTGCTTGCACTTTGCATGCAAAGGGAACCATCGCAACACTAGCCGAAAAAGGAACATGCATATAATTTGAAATAACTTGAATGCATAATAGTTTAAATATAGTTATATATACTCTCATTCACTCATTTTTATACTAGAATTCAATTGAAAAGAAAATAAAAAGACAAATAAACTAGATGTTGATTTGTACCAATTAGTGTCAATCCTTACGAGGTGAAGAGTTGGGAAATGAATTTCTTTCCCTCATCAGGCTTCAAAGCATTTGCTTCACCTCGGTAAGCTCAACACCCATATGTTTCATCCCTTCTTTGAGAGCTGCATTTTCTTCTACCACAACTTTCAACGGAGTGCTATTGGTCGAGATTCCTTCCTTGAGAGCTGCAGTTTCTTCTAGCACAAGCTACAATCGAGTACTATTGGATATCTTAGTAGCAGCAGCCCCGTTAAAGTGTTTGGGAGTAGAACCACCTCCAAATACTATGTCACTCTTTTGAGTCCCCATGCTCTCTTCAACTACTTCAAATGTAGTTAAACCAGGTTGAGCATTCTGATTTCAACTATAAGATTCTGGTCATTAAAAACAAAAAAACAAACCATCATCATAAATATCAGAATCAGTAATTAAGACAACTTTTAAGAGGGAAAGATGAGAAGATACATGTTTCTCAACGCTGGCAAGATGAATCAGTCTTCTGTCCTTTTTGCGAGTTTCAAAATACAATGTTGCAAAATCTCGTGGTGCGCCAGTTTTCTTTTCCTACATATACAATAAGAAAGAGTGGAGTGATCATCCTCAAGCATGAAGCCAGTATCTACAATAGCATTTATAATATGAATTATGATATTAGAATTACCTTTCATAGCCTATGAAACGACATATACGTACAATTTCATAGTAACTTCTCTGTTAGGCTTGCTACCCGTGCGACAAGGAACGAAAACATTGGCTCTATTTTTAGCATTTTGTTCACTTTGCTTCTACGACAAGGCATGGATCAATTGGCACCATTCAACGCATAGTGATCCTAAATCCAAAATAGAATGTCATAAGGAACAAAAAAAATTACGTTAAATTTGGCACTTGAGAAATGTACCCTTACTAGCCACTCTCATTCTTCTTTCACAACTTCTGGTGGAATATTCTTGATGGCCTTTTCAACATTTCTACATCGTTTAACATATTTTCTCTTAAAATCAGCTCGTGCATTTCTCCATGAACCTCTCATCCAGTCATTCACAACTTTCTTATCTTCATCATCTACATGCCATTTTTCCTACAAAATTGGAAAATATACAGTTTTGATTTGAATTGGCTTAAGTGTATAGTGCAAGTGTACCTAAACAAACAATAGAGACCATCTTAAAGTTCTTCACCTGAACAATGGCTCACATATGATCTATCTTTTCTTGGGGAGTATTCATCCATCGAGGTACCGCTAGAGGGCATACGCTAGGACATCGTATTATCCTCCCAAAAAATTTAGAAAATCCTCATGATTCTCACCAACAACACGGATGTTGAATAAGAGATTAAGTTTTTCTCCAGGTTTCAATTTGGCAACTTTTTCTAACTTGTTAGGACCTCTTCTCCTCTTGTTCTGATAATCTAATGAAATAATCATTGTATAAAAAAGGAATTTATCAAAAGATATGTACAATTAATGTTGATGATGGATGTTTCTAATAAATATAATTAGATGATGAAAGTTCCATGAGTCCATGACAGTAAAAGTAAGCAGAATGCAAATACGAACTTGTGTTATGCTCTTGGATAGTTGGAGCACTCTCTTCCGTTGCTGGGGAGTGCAATACATTATTAGATAATGACCCAACTAATTTGAGAGAGAAAATAACTTCAATAAGTACTTTCAATCTACAAAAACATGAACAATTAAATCAAAATGATGATAACTAAAACTGTATTTGGCATGTAGTTTCATTGATTGGAAATTCATTTATTCTTGCTTTCACTGAGGTACTAGTGATGTTATACATTGCATGTTGCCTCCTAACCTTGTGGAAGTTTAGGTTGTGTTCCCTTGTTTTCCTCTTGTTCTACAATTCTTTCTTAGTTCACCAGGACGAATGACATTCCCCCTTATCCCTTCCTGACTCCAACCACTTGAGAGTTTGCACTAGTTTTCATTGTGCCCTTTGAAAAGCAGGGAACCAAACCCCCACAATCAAGACAAATTGAAAGAACAAAAGTGAATAGCATATAGCAAGAACAAGAGGGAGGTTATAAAGAGTAACCTCACGCCAAGGAGAACGAAACAAAAACAAAATCCACAGGTCTAATAAAATATTTTTATTCATAAGAGAAACTAGATCACAAGGATATGATGTCTCAATTTTGGATTTAGGTTCAACATCAGCTACCAGGAGAATTGGATTAACATGACAAGCCGAACTGGCGTTTTGTTTCACCACGTTTGGATCAAGCTGGGGAGTAAAAAGGGCAGTGAGGCACTTATGGTTACACGAGTGCTGCAAGCTAAGGAAACTTATTTGAGCAAAAGGTACCAACGAAGTTGTTATAGTAAGAATAGATGATTGTGGGAAGGAAGAACAAGAAGAGTGTTTATGGAAGGACGAGTTTCGAGCAAATTTCAGGGACGAAATTTTTATAAGGGTGGGGGAAATGTAACATCCCGGTATTTTAGATTTGGGTTCGACCATATTAAATGAGCGGTTAGTTTGATGGCTACATACTAAGAGTTGCGACCGCGGATTAGGAATAATAATAATAACTATTATTATTATTAAAAAAGCAAAGAGGGGCCAAGGGCCGAACGGCCCGTCAATTATTCCCCATCATAACTCCTCCCCAGAATCCCCTTCCCCTTCAATTTAATTTTCCCCAGCAATTCAACCCCCCGCAAACCCCCAACAACCCCGCACGATGAGAAGAAAAAAAAAAGGGAGTGTGGATCTCGACCCCGATCCCATCCCTTTCGTTCTAGATAAGGATCACGAACCCTTTCACGATTCCAAACTTGATTCACCGATAATCTAATCTGAAACTCGTATTTTTGTACTATAGCATTTGCGATGAGATTTGAGGGTTTGATCATCGATCAAGGAGGAGATCAACGTCCCGGGTCATCCAATCTAGTCCTAGGCACGTTCTAGAGGAAAGGGAACTCGGTCCCTTTGAGTTAGGTCGATCGATTGGGTGATTTTTCATGAGGGTGCAATTCTGGGTTCTTAGCAACAGACTTTACAGACTTTTAGGGATATATTTTGGGTGGTCACTAAAGTTGCTGGGAATTTCCAGAAACGTGTTTTAAGATATTTAAATTGTTTCGAGCCTTTTCCAATGACGTTTTTTGGATTTAGAAATTTTTTTAAATTGAGGGACGTCTAGGAGATGGCTGTAATTCAATTTGGGGATTTTTGTGAATGTATTACTATTTTTAGAAATTGGTCGAATTTTCATTTTAATTAAATAAAAACTTACCGAGGGATTTTTAGGGGTTTGATAATTTTTCATGGTATTTGATCTCATGATGGACGTGGAAAAATTATGCTCTGAATTTTTTAAGCAGGTTCAAGTAAGGGAAAAATTCGTCCAAGACAAAATTAATTAGGAAAAATGGTTGGTTTTGAATGGATTCTCTCTAGAAAAATTGTTAAAGGAGGTTAAGGGATCTTTGGAGTGAGGTTTGAGGATGGGACTTTGAGGAGAGGGTGTCGGGGTAGATATAAAGGGGTTTTAAATCGAGAAATGTCGTCTTAGAATATGAATTTCTTATTAATAGGTTTCTTGGGATAATCCAGCTAAGGAGGGAAAGAAGGTGAGAAAGTAGCCGCCAAACAAACGTTGTAATCTCTCGTGATGAAGAGGTTCACGCTGGTTAGTAGGAGAGGAAGAGCCGTGTCTAGCGGAGGCGGGAGGAAGGCCGAGAACTCGGCAACGACGATCGCGACTAACGGAAGTAAAGCGATGGAGAGGCCCCGACCCTATCCTCCTAGACGACCCGGGGTGTCGGGAGTTCAAAGTTGGCCACTAAATTGTGGCCCGAGGAGGGACCTCGAAGAGAATGGCGGCGGAGCTCCACTGGTGAGGGTCATCGAAGAGGAAGACGATGAACCGATTGAGGAGGAGCCAAAAGAGGAAAAACACCCGAGGCTTGAGCGTCAGAATGCAGACGTTGATGCGACTAAAGAGGTAAGTGTAAAGGGGGTAAAATCTCTGACGTAGGTCTTTTAGTTTATGCTTTTCATTCAGGTTATTATTTAGTTAATTTTTGAGTATTGTGCGATATGTGTGTGTGGCATCCCACCGCCTACTTAAGGTGGAGGCACGCATTGTGCTATGTATGAATGTACGGATGACATGCTAAAACACAACACCAAACTGCGACCAAGTGTAATCGCAGTCCGGAAATGCAGTAATAGGCAAGCTCTAATTGTCAACCTGGGGTCTAGATCTACTGCCTACTCCGTGTATATCTATTATCTAGCAAACTAAGTTAAGTGATTGTTGATTTAAGTAAGAGCAGTAAGAAAGCAGGAAATGGTTCGGTTATCTAAAGCAAAGGAAGAGTCACTCGGGAATGAGTCCCCCTAGCTCCTTAGTTAGGTCACAGTTGTAATTACTTTTGGTTGCTTTACTGCTGATTATACTGCGGAAGATCCGACAGTAGCTTGGAATCTCTTAAGCTGACCAAGCCCTCTCAGTCAAACTACCCGGCAGACGACTAATCTTCACCGGGATAGAACGCCGAGGCAATGAACACAGAACTCCACTATTGGAATTAGATTCCAGTACAAAGCAATGAATTGACTAACTCTTGTATAATCGATTCACTACTACCGATTGAAGAAGCTCTAATTACCTAATCAGATTCTATCCATCTCAGGTTGCAGCAGAAATCAATAAAAGATTATCAGACTTCAATTGACTCATTCAAAACACTTCAATCGATTATAATCAAGCAATATCACAATCCAAACGTAATTACAATCAAGATTCCTAACACATGGAACTAGGGTTCTTCATACCCAAGTGAGAGAGAGTTCTACTCCATATATAGAGAGAGAGAGAGAGAGAGGGGGAAACAGAATATAAAGCAGTCATACTCATAGCAATGGGAAGAATCTGCTCTGGCATGATGATCTTCACTCCTATGATGATCTCCAAGACGATTGATGAAACCCAGCTCCAATATCACTTCTAGGATGTGTTCTTCGCACTTTCTCTCTCTAGGGCTCTGTTTTTGCTCCAAAAAGTCGATTCCCTCTCCTTTGGCTCGAATTTGGGTAAGAACCCAGAATTTCCCGACCACACGGCCGTGTGGCTTTCCCAGCTGCCCGTGTGAGTGAAAAGTCGCGTTTCACATAAGTGGCTTCAGGTACGCTACACGGCCAAAACCACACGGTCGTGTGGATTTCTAGACTGCCCGTGTGAGCTCCCAGGACTTTCCACACGGCCACAAGGGGTCCCTTACACGGCCAGTGTGGCTTGCCCATGCAATTTGGTGCCACACGGCCAGGTCACACGGCCGTGTGGGATTTTAGGCGTGCCCGTGTGGCTTTCCCAGCTTCTCGCCAAACGTCCAATCTTCGTCCAATCGACCCCGAACTCGTTCCCAAACCTTCATTCACGTACTAGGACCTGAAATATCACAAACAAGAAGAACCTAGCATGAAATCGGCCTAAAACACAAGAAATAAGACTCAAACGGTACAAGAATGGTGGACAAAAACATGTGTATATATCAAGTCATCAATGGATGTATGATTGTAACGGTTGATTAATGTTAAGATGAACCCCCGGGCAGTTGGGCCACTATTGGACATAGTAGATGGTCGGGTCACTGTTGGACGGCGAGACGTAACGCAGCAGTTGATCGTGTATGTTGGGGTCACTACTGGACGGTGAGACGTAACGCAGTAGTTGACTGGGAATGGACTGGACGGCGAGACGTAACGCAGTGCCATTGCCGAGTTTGGGTATGCAACCGGACGGCGAGACGTAACCCGGTTGGCATACTAGGGTAGGACACTGGACGGCGAGACGTAACCTGGTGGTCCTAGTTTTTTGTGTTTAAGTTAAGGATAGAAGTCGAGAGCTTCTGTGAGTTAATGTTGAAATAAGTTATTGAGGATGAAAGCGAGAACGAATTTTGTCTAAGTCAAGAACCCGAATAACGTGTATTAGTAAGGATGATTATTTAAGAGCAGAAAGCGAGAATGGCTTTTGTTGTAGGAAGAAAACTCTAATAACGTGTTAATTGGAAGTTTGCCTAGGGAAAAGACCTTAGGAAGTAACGACGAGACTGGCCCCTTCTCGCTCACCAGGTCGAGGAAGGGTTCATAGAGGTGGATTTTGAGAAGAGGTAAGGCGAGGCGAGTAGCTACACCAGCATTGATGAGAAATCAAGGAACTGGTGAAGAGTTAGAGCTAGAATAGTTTAATTTCTTTGTTACATGGTTAGGAGTGTAAACTGGAGATTCTGAGTTCGTTCATTTTAAGTATGGGTTAAAGACACATTTGGTCACTGAGATTGCTAAATCGGGACACATTTAGTCACTAGAAAAAATTAATATCAATTTTAGTCACTCGAATTACTGAAACAGGTCACATTTAGTCACTAGAAAAAATTAATATCAATTTTAGTCACTCGAATTACTGAAACGGGTCACATTTAGTCACTCTTTGTTAGTCTCCGTCCAACTCTGTTAATGAAGTCCGTTAAGTGCTGATGTGGCAAACAGAGGCGCCTAGTCAATGTCGTTTTGGGCCTGAAATGGTCACTAAACCCGCCACATCACTAAACTCGCCACGTCATATGCCCAACCAACCCATGCACCCACCCGACCCATAAACCAAACCCAAGCCCACTTAAAATATGCAAAATAGATTTGGTAAGAGACCATTTTTAGAGCTGATACTTTTCTCCTTCCTCCCAAACCTCTTATTCCACCAAACCCAACCGGAAATGGCTTACCTTCTCCGATCCCTCCTTTATCTTTCCGTCTCCCTCCATCTCTCCCTTGTGATTTCTCCTCCAATCTCTTACAAATCCCCAACCTTTCTGATTCCACTTATCTTCTCCTATTCCTCCTTTTCCTTTCCATCTCCCCCATCTCTCCTTTATGATTTCTTCCTCCAATCCCATACAAAACCCAATCATTCTTCCCGTCTCCAAAGAGACACCACCTCCATACCACCTCCATCTGCAACTTCAATTCGCTCCAATCCATCAAGCTCGTAGTCAATCTCTAACATGATATATTCAAAGAAATCGAGGAAAAATCAACAATTGAAAGGGTTGAATTCTCAGTTCCCATAGGGTTTCTTCGCGGCCGACGTTCAGCAACAACAACAGTAGTGAGGACATCTTTTCCTGATTCAGATCCGCCGGCTTCTAAAAATTTCGAGTTTGAGTTGACAAGAACAAAGTTCTAGTAGCGGGATTACAGATATGCCGTTGTTCGTCTGCGAAGTGGATCTGGCGGCTGGAGCTCTCATGGTCGCCGGAGAGAAGGATTGACCGGACTGAGTACGAGCGCCGGGAAGATGATGATGTTGGTCGTCGGATTTCTCGACGGCAGGTTATGGCCGAGCCGACTTCAGGTATGTCAGATGGAGATGCTTGGCAGTGGTGTTTTTTTTGTTGTCGATCTGGGTTTCTCGACAAGATGGTCGCCAGAGTTGAATGAGGTGGCGCTTTGACTCCAGATGATTCGTCACCTTTTTCTTCCGCTTCCAGACGACGGCTGGGGATGCGGGAATGGTTGATTTCAGCTATGCTCCACTTTGACACTTCCTCATGTCTTGGGTTCGGAGATGGCGATCGTCAGCGGTCTGGATTCGCCGGTTGTAGCTTGTTGCAGCAAAGCATTCGTACCAACCGGCTTTTTTGGTTTTTGATTTTTTTTTTTTTTTTGTGAATGTAGATAAGATTGTTGTGAAGAGAAATGGGAAAGGGGGTCTTTTGGTTTTTTGGGTGGGTTGGGATTTGGGGGAAGAAATGTAACAGAGGAGACGAACGGATTTGGTGAGGGATGGTGAAGGATTAGTCTGCTGGGTTAGGTTGAACAGGAGGTGGGAGGAAGGAGGAGGGCGGCGGTGGTGGTTTTGGAGAAAGGAGGAGGTGGGAGGAAGGAGGAAGAAAGGTTGGGTTAGGTCATGGGTTTGGTTGGTTTTAATGACGTGGCGGGTCGGGTTTTATTTTTGTTGGGTTATATCCGGCTGATTAGGCAATTCTGTTTGCATCATCAGCACTTAACAGACTTCATTAACGGAGTTGGACGGAGACTAACGGAGAGTGACTAAATGTGACATGTTTCAGTAATTCGAGTGATTAAAATTGATATTAATTTTTTCTAGTGACTAAACATGTCTCGATTTTGTAATCTCAGTGACCAAATGTGTCTTTAACCCTTTAAAGTATTGGGATTGTCATTTGCCCAAGTGTTCAGACTTTTTGTTTGAAATTCTTAAACATTGTCGATTTATTTATTTTAAAAAGGTTGTTTGGGTTGCTCTGGAGTAACCGGTTTGTGGTTTGAGTTATGGTTTAGTTTTCAAAAAGGATCGGGGCGTTTCATAGGATGTGAATGTGAGATGGGATTACAGAGCACTTAAGTCCGAAAGATTTCACCAACCAGTATTGATTCTGATGAAATTTTTGGGATAATAACAATACTCAAACCCGTCAAATTGGGATTTTACATAAAATCGAAAACTGGGATAAACTCAGAATCGTAAAATAGTACGATTTTCACTATCATATAAAATATAACCTATAATAATATTAATAAGCTAAATCATTAATAACACAAAGACACATAACATTTAAAATGATAATTATAAAAACAAAATTTACAAAAGATAATTCTCAAGATTAATGTTCCAAAATCAATATTTTAATTTTTATTTAATGTGTAACTCAAAATAATTCATGAGGAAGGGATAAAGCTCAATGCGTTTGTCTCTTGTTTTCATGTTGTCTATGTAGTTGAACTCAAAATAATATTTCGACATCGTCTAAGTATTATTTAAAACTAAAAATATTTGAACTCCAATAAAATAAGTAATGCTAGTGGCTTGGTATAAATATATATATTAATAAATTAATTAGTTAATAATGATGATAACTATTACGTACTTCCAATATTAGAATAATTGTTTTACAGATAAGTTAAATGGGGCCAATGTAGTTAAAATCGAGATTTTAATCCTAAAATCATGGGATTTTACTTAGAGATTCCGATCCTAATTTTACTATAAAATAAATGGACCTTAAAATCGTTTAAAATCAGGATTAAAATTGTAAAATTGTACCAAAATCAGGATTTTTATAGTATGAGAAAAAATGTGTGGTTTGAGCCAATTTAAAAGAAACATAATTGTTTTGACGGAAAGGGAAACGACAGGAATCTTCTCATATATTTTTTCAATTAAAAAACATTTAAAAATAATAAAAATAACCAAATTAGGACTCGATCAATCCCTTTCCCTTCGCCACATTTAACTTATTAGTAAAACATTGTCCTAATATTGGGAGTATGT